TCTCAGAGCATTTATAGCGCGGGGTGGGCAGCTATATCATGGGATACCTTTTTTGCCACAATCAAATTATGAAAAATAAGAATAGTTTTGACCCTTTCTAGCTATATAACAGGAGGGTGTTCATATGTTCAAACAAAGTCTTGCGTTCACCACACATACTTGTGGTGAGCATGCACTGTTCGCCTTTTAGCGTCCTCTGGTCTGGCACTGGTGGGACTGGGCCACAAAGAAGGATGTCTGGTGGAGGTATAAGCAGTTTCAAAGACAATGCGTGGATTATCAGCGCATACTGCGTTGCATGTTTTGCCACAAGTATCACCGTGTGTGGTCAATGCAGACTTCATTCCTTGCAAAATGTACCTAGTTGGTGTTTGAACATCTTAACGCCTGCTTTATTGCCAGAGAGGGTAAAAAAAACCTCTTCTTATTTTTCAGACAGAAAGACAACCAGCATAATTGAAATGGTCATGATCATCACCAGCAGCAGCAACCGTTATCTAGCCAAGATTGCCTTCCTTACCACGCGGCCCTTTGTCAAGCCACTGCTGGATGGATGAAGACCTCCCCGCGCTGTATTGGACACGGGGGTTGTTTGACCATACTTCACCACGCCGGTCAGTGCGGGTTGGTGAAGGGGCGTGCTCCAGGAACGGTTTGCATGTCACTCGCCGCCGACGTAAGCCGTGGCCGAGAATCAAAACTTAGGTGGCAGGGTTCATAGCGCAGTGCACGAAACACTGTGCCATCGCTCCCACCACGAGACTACAAAGATCCCACCAACACAGCTGCATGGACCGCGTGGGCCACGTGCTGTTAGCCAATACGAGACCAGCACGACATCCAAGGCGGTTGCGTGGCAATCACCACGCCCGGGTCGCATCTGTCTACCCAGTGCTGATGTTTACACACTGCACCGGGTACCCATTGAAGGCTGAGTTGACCTAGGGGAGGCCCCAGGACCTGGTTCAGATGTTTGTCAACGATGTTGGCTGCGAGCGGGTCACCGGGTTTGTGGCGCGGCGCGCTAACCACGCGACACCAATCGCTCCCCGAAGAGACACAGACACGCAACGCACAGTGGCACACAAGAGAAACAACGTGTGACCGCGGAAAGCCGACCGACAAAGGCAGACGGCTTCGAATGCTGTGTTCATCTTTGAACAAGACTAAACTTTTGAAGTCCAGATGTCACATTTTACATTTTCCTGTCAACTCCCCCGATTCTCGGCCATCTCCACAGAACTCCAAACAGCACGGGAGGGGAGGGAGGGGGCCGGAGGGTGGGGCAGGGGGGGGGCTTGTGAAATGTAACACCGCCTTGCCGTGTGGCTTATCGGACAAGAATGTTGACATTCACTCGTAGGGTCTCAAATGTGGCTTTCGCTTGAATAAATAAGTGCCATTTATTTAAGGAAATTAACAAAAATCGATTGGACAGGTACAAATCCATATCTCATTGGAAACAAAAAACTGTCTCGCTGAAAATCAGAACGAATATTCGCATTGTTATTCAAATGGACTTGACTTTCTTCGAGTCGTACGAGTGGAGCGATCTCTCAATTTATTCGGAATTTACATTTGGAGAGGCCGTGCTTTCAGCCGTAAACAGCAACACCACACTGTAGGGTTCTCAGTGTGAATGCGCACGCACATTCACACAGAGTTCAGCGCGGATTTGGATCACGGTGGTCCAAAAATACGAAAGGTGACGCCAAAAATATGGGGCACACCGACGACCAGTTTAATAATAAACACGATTTATTGAAAGCGCACATTTTCTCGAATCGGACGCAGTGTTCGACCGAGAACTCGTACGCGCAGAGGCAGAGCTCAAAGTCCCCAGTACACCAACTTGGACAGGTGAGGGTCTGGATGGGTGAGGGCCCGGATGGGTCAAATCTTGAACGAGTGAGAAACCGCGGCAGTTGAAAGCTTGGGCAGCTGAGCCTTGAGCTACTGCTTGAAGGTGGATGACGATGCTTGGATGCTGCTGCTTCGAATGTGCAGTGGCAGAGCGAGTTCCAGACGGCTGCCGGTGCAACTAAGAGGAGCGACGCTTAGACAAGACAGTCGTGGGTTTTGTGGTAAAATTGCAAAATATGTGGGAGGCTGGACACTCCCGTACGGATATTTGACTCAACTTATTGAAGAAGAATAAAGAAGAAGAAGAAGAAAAAACGGGGAGTAGCCCGGAAAATGTGGTTGCGTAAACACACCGTGTGAATGCGATGTCATTTTTAGCGGCGTGCGAACCAGGGGAAAGCGGCTACAACTGTGGAAGCTGGGCGTGTCCCGAGAGTGACTGTTTCTCAGTGGTTATCCCTTATAACATTGCAAGGCAGGATCCGTGAAGTTAACCTCAACGCACTTCGTCACGAGAAGAGAAAAAAAAAACAATTGTTGTTCCGAATTGTAATTGTTTGACATCTTACACAATTACTGGCGAGTGACTGCTGCGGTTCGTGAGCAGCCTGTGTATTTAAAGATTATATTATCGGCACAATCGACATTTCTTTCTCCACCATGTCCAAGGAAACAAAAATCAACCGCAAAATACCAGGGAGTTTTGTCTAAAAATTGTCGTTTTCGTCTCTCAAACTTGACATCTAAACGCACAGCGGCTTTGTGTCCGGGGTAAAACCCACACATCACAGTGATCGACATTGTTTTTGCCAATACCGAACGTACTAACCTGCCGTTAAAAACAGAGGTGTTTTGGTTAGATCGTGTACATATGTGTCGCAAAAACCCGCCACCATGCGACATAGCTAATTAGTGAGGTTTGTCACGTTAACAAAACGTTCCAAAACATGACGATGCTTAACGGCACATTCATATTTTTCGCGATCTAACCCCAAACACCTCCATTGTGGATAATATTGGTCGCGACGGCCTACCACGTGTCCAAACCCCCTCGTCGTCATTATAATTGTTGCCAACTTCCACCAAACCCCAATCGGCTTTCCCATCCTGCGTCCTGCACGCCGCCCGCTCAACTCGCTCGCGCTGTGAGCTACGGGCCAGAGAAATGTGCCCCGCGTCGATAGCACGCGCATCTGGTGTCGCCGTAGAGCAGCGGAATGACAAGTCACGGATGCTGTTTCGACCGGGCGCGTCTTCTTCTCCTGCGGATTTACGACCGCGTCGAACGTGACCCGCGCGTCCTGCTCGACCATGAAGCCTCTTGCGTCAGCCCCCGGAGTCCTTGAACAAGCTGTGCCGCCCCAGTAATGACAGCGCTTGACTTTGCTCACGACTCTCGGTGTTTTGGGCGAGTGATGCATTCATTCACGAGTCGTCCAGTGGTCGGTATTAGACGACCTCAAGACGACGGGCAGATATCGTGGGCGTCCTGTTTGCATGGCGTAAGTAGCTTGCCGTTGCTGAGCGCACGCCCTTAGACTGGTTTTGTTTTAACAGAGTGTGTTTCATTTTTTTTTGCGAAAGCTTTGAAACGATTGCGAAACCAATTCACAATGGGGAAATTATCATGCCAGCAGTTTCTGCTTTGAATTATCACCATGACCATGAGCAGTGGCAGCATCATCAATATCATGAGTGTCATCATCATCAGCAGCAACATTATGAATATCACCGTCATTATCACCATCATCTCTCTGAGGTCGGTAAATTGAGTACTGACCGGTGAAGCTGCACATCAAGCACTGGCTGTGGTCGTCGTTTGTACCGAGGACAATCCTCGTCTCCGCCGTAGAGATGTGGAATTTCCACCCGCCGTAATCGCTGTACCTTCAACAGAGACGAGCGCCGCCAAACGCTCTGCTGAGCAGGGCGACGCTCTGACTAAAAAAAAAACCACGACAGCATAAATTACCATCACCATCATGAGCCGTGCTCTATCCACTGCTCGATGGAAGCATCTCCCCCCCCCCCTTTCCCCCTTCTCCACCCGACCCAAACGAAATTAAAACGCACATTTACCGCGATTCACACGAACGCAATGAGCCCTCAAACCGCGGACGCTTTGTGAATGGACTTGCTCCGGATCGTTCGCGAGCAAGCGCCGCCGGTTCGCTTCGAGGCCGGGTTATCGACCGCTCGGCCTGCAAGTTCCACTGCTGCTTGTGCCCGCGTTGCAAAAAAAAACTCCTTGATCAATGCAGCAGAATTATATATATACACATGTTTCTGTATTCACCGTCGCCTTGACAGCGGTCAACAACACTGCCTTATATTATATGAAATTAAAAAAAAATTGGCGACGTTTCGGGAAATGGACCAACTTCATGTACGATGAAGAAGGGCCATTGCCCGAAACGTCGCCAATTATATTTTTGTGTTATTTTATGACCACACAGTGTTTGTTGTTGATGTTGTTAATTGTGCACCACTGCCAATGCAGCAGCGTCACCAATCTTGACATGAGCACGACGAACTACTAACTTCATACAATACAGCACTATAGGCGTAATAATAAGAAATCATGAACAGCCCTCCGTCAATCCACTGCTTTGCGATGGCCTCCCCATGCCGTGTTTTTTAAACGGGATTTTGTTTTCGCCATACTTCACCGCAATGAGCAATGCAGGTTTGGTAAATATGCCACTCTTGCTACTGATGTTAGCCGTGGCTGGGAATTGAACTCTGGTCGTCGGACTTTTAGCACAGCGTGCTAACCACCGTGCCACCACCTCGACCGGCAGTGCCTTGACAACGAATCCAACTGGGATCAGTTAAAACTTTTTGAATACGTGATGTGAGACCATAGGAAGTTTGGCCGTGTAACTTGGCAGCTAAAGCTTTGTGGATGCAATGAAGAGGAGGAGGACTCTGTTGAATGTGACAATGTGTGCAGGATAAACGAGGGCAGCACGTAAACAAGACGGGCTTTGGCGTGCACCCCACGCTTGCTTCGACCAAGGAGGAAGACCTAAGAGCAGACGGTGGGAGACTGTCAGCTCAGATCTCGGGGGGTGGTGGGGGGGTCGCTGCATCTCTACCGTTGTGGGATCCGGCCGAGGGTATAGGGAGCATTGGAAGCGAGGAGGTTCGGTGGCATCAATGGCTTTGGCCACGATGACCTCTTGACCTTGACTTGTAGAGTCAAATGAGTATTGGTGCCCTGGGGTGGCACCCAGGGGACCGGCCAGAATGTTGCTCGGTCGGGAGTGAAAACGATCTTCTTCGACGAAGCCAAGGAAAGTAACAGTAGCTGTTTGGTGCATTTGGTGTCTTCGGCGTTCTTGTAGCGTGAGGCTATCGCGAGGGAGGCGCTGTGCTTCGGGGACATCCGTCCGCGGTGGTTTCATGAAGAAGGCAGCGGTGGTCGGGGCGCATCGGGAGAACGAGCCCGGACAACATCCCACGGCGTTGGCGACGTGACACGAACGTGGACGAATAGACGAGTACGCAAAGACAGGAGTGATGCATTTGTTGTTGGGTCACAAATTCATCTGAAGAATATCTCATTAAAAATTTTTTTAGAGCGGATACAACATATGTTGGAAGCCCTGAAAACTCGTCTGTTGTTGTTGTTGCTGCTTCGCATTGATACGAAAGGGTGACGCCACAGGAAAGGAGTCACACGTGACGACGCTTTCGTGCTCTTCGTGCCACCAATGTGTGTGTGGAGTGGGGGGGGGGGGTGTCACGTGGCATCGGGTGACGTACCTGTTGTTGGGCACGACGACGCGTCTCAGCTTTCAAGTTGGTTTTGTTCAACCAGACGAGAACTCAAGAGACAGGATGAGTCTCATCTTCTCGAGTGACCTGCGTCACCCAAGTGACAATACAATACAACCTAAAGTCATATAAGAGCGTCTATAAACGCAACCGCATCTCCAGATTCTTCACGGGGGGGGGGGGGCGGGGGCGGGGGTGATTAGCTCGATAACAAATGAAAAGAAATGGGGGTCCAAAGTGTTGACTTGAGCAAGGGTAGCGGCAGAAGCAGCAGCAGCAGCAGAGTCTCCGCTCCACGAAGTTCAAGGGGAAGAGAATTGCATCCAAACGGCGGGAGCAGAAACCGAGAAGCAGCGACTTCCCACCACCGAACGAGGATTGACGACTGTGTTGTGGCTTTGTAAGAAGGAGGAGGGCCTTTGTTGCCGGAGCAGAGATAACGTGCCGCGGAGTGCAGCGTGAGATAAGAGAGGAGGGGTAACGTAAACGGCTAAAATATCTGAAATCCAACATTTTAAAAAAATCCAAATCCCCCCCGCCCCACCCCCCCAAATCCACAATTGCAATGGTTAAAAAACCCTAAAAAGTTAGCTACTGACACTGAATGAAGGAGTTAATGGCAGCCAAATAAAGAGAACCATTGTGGAAATTCGCTCGCTCGTGAGCTGACGGAAAGGGACAGACGATGTCGGCGATGATGATGATGATGGTGACGACGACGAGGCGGTCCTCTGACGAGGGGTGGCTGGCGTCGGCTCTGCTGGCTTTCATCAGCGTCTCCACCGCGCCCTTGAACACGCAGCGCTGACTGCCCAGGCACCCGTCTGTTTGAGCCGCAGCTCAAAGGCCGCGCGGTTGAAGAGGGGCACTCGAGAAGCGATGGCTCAGCGGCAGATCGAGAAACTTCCCGAGGCGGGTGTAGAGGGCCCTCTATAAAGATAAAATAATAAAGAAGTAAATAAATAATTTATTCGAACGAATATTTTTTAAAAAACGTACCAATTTTTTAGGGTCTCGTGGGAGGTGGAATCGCCGCCCATCATCGCCCACCCCCCCACCACCACTACACTGGCTCTTCATTAAACGCGACGCGGGCGCGCATCCTGTTGGCAGAGCCCTCGGGGAGCACACGAGGGTTCGTGCGCGGCTCTCCACGGCTCGTGAAGGAGCCCTGGGCTCCGTCTGCCGAGAGGCTCTTCTCCCGTGGCAATGTCCTCACGGGCTCGGTCACTCAGGCTGCATTCTGGGCGGCACAGGGCACGGGTGGACGGGGCACATTGGCAGATGACGACTAGTTTGGCTTTCGATTAATTTTTCCTGTTGGCAGGTTACATACTGTCACCAAAACTAGAACCCCTACCGTGATCCTAATTTAGCCCTGATCATCTGAGGATCATTTCACAATGGCTCTAACTCTGACCGTAACCTTAGCCATGACCCTAATCCCTGAACCCTGACGTTTGACCCTAAATTAACTGTGACAGTCAAGCTCACTCGGACACAACCCTAACCCCAGACCGAACGCTTGACAAAGGTGGCAGGGTGGAAGAGCGAGCAGCTCGCGAGCAGATCAGTTAAAATCCTAATTAGAGCTTGCCTCGGCCCATCATCTCTCCTGGGTCGATAAAATAAGAACCCAATTTCTTTAGGGATTAAACAGAGGGTGTCCTATACATAGGCTCGCTTCCGCCATATGAATGTGGAATTCCCATCACTGGCTCAGGGCTGTAAACCGAGAAGCGCTGTCTCAATGCTTACTGAAGCAGGCTCTCACTTTAGCTTTGACTATATGTATATACTGTATTGTATACTGTATGCATACTCAGCGGGGGAATTGCAGCGCAGCGACAGCGTAACACGCCGACTTGCAATCCCAGCCACGGCTAACATCAGTGGCGAGTGATCTATGAACCGCACCGCATCGGCTAGCATGGTGAAGTATGGTCAAACAAGCCATCAGAACTGACACGGAGTGGAGAGAGGCCTTTGTCCAGCAGCGGATCGGACTTGTGCTTGTACGTTGTTTAATTTTTTTTCTACGTCAGTTAATGCAGCCGGGCGGTACGGCGCCAACCAAAACACCGGCATCTGACAAGGAGCGAGCGTGGATATTGGCAAAGTGACGGAGATAGGTTTGCGAGTCGGATTAGCCGGTTGGTTAGTGGTAGGGTCAGTGGGATAGCTGTGCTAGTAGCTGGTAAGCTGGTGGGGTAGTGGTAACGCTAGTGGCTGCTGAGCCGGTTGGTTAGTGGTAGGGTCAGTGGGATAGCTGTGCTAGTAGCTGGTAAGCTGGTGAGGTAGTGGTAACGCTAGTGGCTGCTGAGCCAGTTTGTTAGTGGTAGGGTCAGTGGGATAGCTGTCCTAGTAGCTGGTAAGCTGGTGGGGTAGTGGTAACGCTAGTAGCTGCTGAGCCAGTTTGTTAGTGGTAGGATCAGTGGGGTAGTTGTGCTAGTAGCTGGCAATTAGTTAGTTATCTGGCTATGGTTGTGACTAGCATTTGACACCTTTAATTTTGTTGACTGTTTTTTTTTACATTTCTGGTGCTTTGGTGTGGCGGTGGCCAGAGCGGCCCACTCGCCCCACCTCCGCCTTTCCCACTCCTTCGTAACTTTTTTTTTAAATTTCCGCTCGCACGGCCACCAGCTCAATCGCGACGATCTCCGTCAGTCGACGGAGCCGAAAGTCTCCGAAGGGCCGGGACTGAGAGCCGCTGGTTCTGGCCGGCGTGAAGGCGCGCGTGCCCGAGCTATTTCAGAAAGCTTGTCACCCCCCACTGTGCTCACGACTATTGGGCAGCAGTGGGCGAATGAAGCAATGCGCTCTTCTCCCCGCGTGTTGCGCAACCCCTGTGCCCCCTTACAGTGGCCGCGTGTGTGCGTTGTGTGGCGTGCCCGCGCGTTAATGTGTCGCATGGGGAATATGGCACTCGCTGTGCGCTCAGAGCAGCAACTTGAATGTCAGTGGAAACACCGCACCGCGTTTTCATATTCGCACACAGGCACGCGGCACGTGTGGCTTGACTTGGTGGCAGGGTGGCGCAGTGGTAAAACGAGGACCTGGGTTCGACGCCTGACTCGGGCACCCTTCTGCTGTGCATGTTGTTTGTGCGCTCTCCCTGCATGGATGGGGTCATCATGCCGGTGAACTTCTTATTCTTTGGGTCTTTCGGTAAAGTCACGTAGATAGGTTCAAATTAATGAAAATAACATAAACAAAAAACTACGACGTTTTGATCACAACACAGCGATCGTCATAGCTTGTATTGCGATCAAAACTTCGTAGTTTTTGGTTTATTTTATTTTCATTAATTTTAACCTATCTACGTGACTTTACCGAAAGACCCAAAGAATATGAATTCCTGCAGTCACGAAAGCTTTAAGTCAACGGTTAACTTTTTATTAGGGCCTACATTATTACAGACCAATTCAGACCTTATTGGGCACACCGTGCCCTTATAAATATCAACGTTCATCCTGCAAAGTCCCATCACAAGGGAGAAACACAAACAGATGGACAAAAATATTATATTGTTGCCACTATTGAAACTGCTGTATGCCGTATGGACTTGGAAACTCAATTTCCCTGTACTAAAAATACGGGCAAACCGTGTGGGTTGACAGGTAGGAATTATTCTGGGTTTTCTCCGGTTTCCTCCCAGAGATGAAATGGTACAATGCGATTGTTATTGTTCAGGCATCCCGATGAAGCAGACCTTTCCTGAAAAAGAGCCTTAAGACTCACGACGTTCAGTGAGCCTCAGGCCCCGAGGTCACCCGTGTTGCCTTCCAGCCACACGGTACGATTACCCTAAACATCGATGGTCTTTCATTCAAAGGGCTATATCCAAGCAGATAAATCATCCACGTGTTACAATCAGCCAACACCAGGCCTATTGTCATACGCCGTCGATCGCACATTATTAAAGTTGTTCGTCGTTTTATTAATTTGTTTTTATGTTTGTGTTTGAAATTTGTGCTTGTGGTGAACCTTGCATATAACGGAGACTCTCTCTCTCTCTGTTGCCACGTCTTTTCTCAGACACTGGCGATCACCCGCTTAGCTACCTGCAGATTGATCGCTGTTCGTCTCCGACGAAGGCTAATCAAGCGTTTGCTCACTTTTAATTTTTGCAAACCTCGTCATCGCCTCTCTCTCTTTGCACTGAAAGTTCGAGCGCCGGTGTTGCTGTTGTGGGACTGCAGCACAGCGGTTATTCTGGTGCGCCAATTTCCCACCGGGAGGACTCGGGAGGCTCCGGTGGAGACAAACAGCACGAGTCGCCGGCTCGTGCTGTTTGTCTTCTTCTCTGTCTTCTTTGGTTCTTTCGGTAAAGTCACGTACAATGATAATAAAATGATAAATTTATCAAATAAAATAACACAATCATATTCTCACGACGTTTCGGCCACAACACAAGCGGCCTTCATCAGGTGAAGGGATGAGACTGTCTGGAGGACAGCGCTGGAGTGAAAAAGCCACGCTCAGATCACGACCTTTAAGCCTCAACTTTAGCAACACGGATAGCTACGGCTTAAAGGTCGTGATCTGAGCGTGGCTTTTTCACTCCAGCGCTGTCCTCCAGACAGTCTCGTCCCTTCACCTGATGAAGGCCGCTTGTGTTGTGGCCGAAACGTCGTGAGAATATTATTGTGTTATTTTATTTTATCAATTTATTATTTTATTCTCATTTTACGTGACTTTACCGAAAGAACCAAAGAAGATGAATCCTTGCAGTCACGAAAGCTTTAAATCGATATTCTTCTCTGTCGTTCAAGCGAACGCTTCCGCCGATGTCTACGGGCCACGATAGGGCCGTGTACGCGTCCGCCGTCCCTACAAAAAAATAACAACAATAATTACCAAGCTCTTGCTCGTTGAACGCAAGTGGGTAATGATTACGTTCTAATTGTTAACTTTGCTGCGTCTGGCTGCTCCTCTTGGGAGACTTGTTAATGCTTGCGGACTGATTAGTGAAATACAGCCAACAAAACAACCGCTTATTCCACAGTCCCCAAGCCGATGATTTTTGCCCGTGAAAGAACGCATTGTGCCGCTGAGAATCTACGGCTTCGCGTTGTCCGCCTACACTTGCCTCGTTACGACGCCATTTCGTGGAATTAAAAAAAACACTGTTGTGTGAGTCACTGAAAATGCCGTTTAATGTAGGATCGCTTTGTTAGAGCCTCTCGGCCGAGTGGTTCCTCACAATAGCTGATTCAGAGACACCGAGTGCGCCACGGTGGAGAGATGTTAACTACCTCGCACGATATGCGGGAGGTCGTGGGTTTGATCCTGAGCCCCGTATATTTAGAGTTTGCATGTTCTTCCAGTGGTCACGTGGATTTTTCTCCGGGTCAGTTTGGTTTTTCGCCTCCACTTTTAGAATCAACATGCGTTTAGATGACTTAGCTGCTATAAATTACCTGATTATAAGCCGCTTCGTTGAGCTATCATTTGTGGCCAAGCCACATCTAAAAAAGAGCTATATAGGTCAGTGAGACTTTACTGGTAAAATAGTAACGTTTTGACCTGGGTTTGGAAGTCAGGATTCAGCCGCCAACGATTACATCAAATGGATGGTCTGCCGTTAAATCTGTAAATTGCGAGAAAATTCAACCGATGAAACGACAAGTTTCAAACAAGGCATAAAAATATATAAAAAGCACGCAACTATTATTGTCCTTGTGGGAAGAAAAAACCCATCTCCATTTCTTGACCGCACCCTATCAGGAAACATTTCCTAACCACACTCATGTCTGAACGCGTGTGGACCAGGGAATGCCGATGGTATTTTACATTCACACCAATCACCATGTGCCTTTTTAATGCATTTTTGCGTGTTGTTTGAAACTAAAGGCCTGCACGCAATAATAATTGATATTGGGCTTTCACGGCAGTTCGAAAATAGTTCAGCTCAAGCAACCGTTCATTTTTTTCCGATTCACTGATTGCAACGTGATGAACATTCTTTTAGAGGACGTAATGAAAGATCATGCCACTCAATGTTGATGAGATGTTGACAAAAGTGTTGAATGTCGATAAGGGGTCAGTGAAGTAGTGTGGCAGGGTGGTACAGTGGTACAACACTCGAGCCTCACAGAAATAGTAATACGAATAGAAACACGATTGGTAACGATCACATATTTCTGGAATCGGACGCAACATTCGATCAAGAACTCAGAGCCACGTGGAGCCTTAGCTCAATAAAGAGGGACCTGGGTTCGATTTCTGACTTGGGCATCTTTATATGTGGAGTTTGCATGTTTTCCCCTGGCACAGCATGGGTTTTCTTCAGGTTCTTCAATTTACTCAAATAATCAAAACAATACAATGATGCCATTGGTGTTGGTCAAACATCCCACTGGAGCAGGATCCTCCTGAAAAATCGTCTTCGGACTCAGTGTGGCTTTCCTTGGTTAATAAATTATTATTATTATTATTGGAGCCTCAAGAGTAGTTCTTTGGTATCAACTTCCGAGGTCTTTGGCATGATGCCGACGTCAAACAGCTCAGTGCGGGGAGCTCTGATTAGAGATGTCTTCATCCCGTGACAAATTGCCAACAGCACAAATTCAAATGCCGATGGGCTGAGAACCAAAATGTATTTTTAAAAACGCCGTTTAAAAACAGTGCTCTCGAGTACTTGGGTTGTAGGTTTGAATATCTTTAAAAGCCTTGCCAAGCACAAACACGGTGGGTCTATTTGCAATAAATTGCCTCTGCCCTGAGCTCGCAAAGGCCTGGAGATATTTGCGAACAGTTCCACAATTTCAAGTGCACACTCCAGCGACGTGGGTCAGCGAGAGTTGATTCGTGGCGAAATCGCCTGATGGTGCCGGATGTAATTACCAGCGAAACGTCGCAATACTCAAATTGTAAAATGTTGTGGATTTACTCTCCAACACACTGGGTGGGCTGAAGTAGTCCACTCATTTCCACGTTTAGTTCACGTGACAAACCTTACTAATTGGCTGTGTCGAGTGGTGGCGAGTTCACGACACATTTATATATGTACGCGATCTAACTGAAAAAAAACGTTCATCGCGAAGGGAGACAATGCTCATCCAATACCACGGCGGTGTTGGACGTACTCAAACTCACTTTTCCATCCACGCTAGGACGATGGTGCCGTTTCGTAAATATAGTGTCAGTCAATCAATCAAGTATTTATTTTCTATAGCACCATTTTGTGCAAAGATGCAATTGAAATTGTTGTACAGGTAAAAGAAAATTGTTAAAAGACTAAATCGCAAGAACAATAAAAGCTATTTCCATACAAAACTAAATTGCATTATAAGAAATTGCTAGCAAAGGCATATAAAAGAAAAACAACACTATAAAATAATTTTAAAATTAAAGTTTTAAAAGTACTTTTTCGATTTAACTTAAAATTTCGTAATGATTGCGAAGCCCTCAGATGCCCTGGCAGACTGCTCCACAGATGAGGCCCATGCACACTGAAGGCCGTTTTCACCGTGAGTTTTGGTCTTGGCCCTTGGGACTACTAAAAGACCTGAACCATAGTTCAGGCCACTAACTTATCCATAAAAAAGCCAGTTTGTAGAAGCTCAAAGTGATTTCCTGCTCAAAATGAGAAATGAGACATTGTTGTTCATCTCCCATTTACAGCCCTGAGCCAGTGGTGGAATTTCCACATTTCTATGGCAGGAGCGAGCCTATCCAGAGAAAACACTGCTTACTTATCCACAAGGTGATACTAATTTTATTGACCTCTGGAGAATGATGGGCTAAGTCATCCCCTGGCCAGAATCTAACCCTTCCATTGTGAGTTGAGTGCTGTTCCAAGCGGGTTCACGTGACAATGCAGATCTCCCTCGGTCTTTATCATCATCATCAACATAATCCCAATGAGGCTCATAAAATGCCTACTGCTTTGTGGAAGTCGGCAGTGGCTTTGCAATGGCTTCACCGGCCACCCCGGCGAAGATGAAGGTGACCTGGAATAGGAGCCCTGTTACGCAAGCATTTCCCAACGCGGCTGGCTGGCTGACCGGGGGTGTGAACGCGCGAGAGGGAGGGCACCAGGGGGCTGGGTGCAGCGCTGGTTCACGGAGCGCTTGAGGAGCCCCAAGGGTCTTGAAGCCGCCTCTTGTAGTGGCACACAGAGTGCCACTTGTGCCGCATCGCACAGGGTACACAAGGGTCTACATACGCACGCGCATGTACACGCGTACAGATGCCGTGGATCTCTTCTAAATCCACACAACAGGGTGGCTGCCTGGATAAGAGGTAAAAGACAAAGATCCCCCGTGTAGCCTTAACAGACTATTGGAGCAAGTGCTGTTAGCGAGCACCTATGAACGCCAGCACGGTACACGAGGGGTTGAGTGGCCAGCTCCACGCCTGACCGCCTTTGTCTCTTCAGTGGCGATGCTTACACACCGCACCAGGTACTCATTTGAGGCTGAGTCGACCTAGGGGAGGCCCAGGACCGGTTCAGATAATCGTCACCGGTGTTGGCCGTGAGCAAGAATCAACTCGGGTAGCCCGATTCGTAGTGCAAGCGCGCTAGCTGCTACAATACCGCTCCCCATGCAGTTAAGATTATCTGAACCGGTCCTGGACCGGTCCTAGGTCGACTCAGCCTCAAATGAGTACCTGGTGCGGTTTGTGTAGCATCAGCGCTGGGGAAACAAAAGCAGCCATGCGTGGTGCTGGCCATCATACTGTAGGTGCTACTCGTTAACTGAACTTGCCCCAACAGTCTGTTGAGGCTATATGGGGGATGTTTGTCTTTGTGGTGTGGTGTGGGGGGGGTGTTTATTTATTATAATACAGCAATAATCCCAGGAAAGCCACACTGCGTCCAAAGATTATTTTTCAGGAAGGTACTGCTACATTGGGATGGTTGGCAAGCACCAAATGACACTCTAAGTGTGGAGTTTAGCTGTGGGGAAATAAACAAAAACCCTGGAGAAGCATGGAGAAACCCCAGGCAGAGCAGGGGGAGAACGCACGAACCCCACATATGTGGTGCCCGGGTCAGCGATCGAACCCAGGTTCTTCTCGCTGCAAGGCGCAAGTGCGACAGGCCGACTGCCCTATTCTCGGTTCAGGCTCGCACGAGGTAATCCCGTTGTGCTCTGCGTGCTGTCTCCGCAGGGGTACCGGTCAAGTATGACGCAGCGTTCCGGGGACCCATCGCCAACAGGTACGAGTTGAACTTGGGTTTGACACTGGGCCAGGGGCTAAGGTTAAAGGTCGAGGCTCGGGTTGGGTTCGCCCGACAGAAAGTCGAAGTCATTTCCTGCTCGGCTGAGCATTGAGGCGGTGCTAATCTCCCTATTACTGTCCTGAGTCAGTGGTGGACATTCCACGTTCCAATGGCGTGGCCGAGTCTACTCAGAGGACAATCACTGTTTACTTCCCCACAAAGTGGCACGCATATTGTCAACCCCCAGATGCATCATGGGCTAATTAACCCCCAACGTGGATTTGAACTCGCAAACTTTCTGCTTGCGAGCCGCTCGCTCGACTGCTGTGCTGTCTGTCTGACATTTAGTTCGGGGTTAGGGACTTTGTTTGGGTTAGGGTCACGGCAAAAATAAGATTTAGAGTCACGGTTAAGGGCAAGTTATGGTCATATGATTAGAGTTAAATTAGGGTCAAAGTTAGGATTAACATAAGGGGTTATTATGGTCATGGTTCAGGTGAGGGTTAAGGGTTAGGTTATGGTTAAGGTTAAGCTAGGGTCAGGGTGATATGGTTTTTGTGTCAGGATTATGTTTAGTAACATGGTTAGTTGCAGATATGGTGTTGTTTAGAGGTAATGTTTAAGGGTTATATTTGAGGGTTAAGTTTAAGGGTTAGGTTTGAGGGTTGGGGTTCAAGGGTTAGGTTTGAGGGTTAGGTTTAAGAGTTATGTTTAAAAGTTAAGTTTTAGGTTTTAGGTTTAAGGGTTAGGTTTGTGAGTTATGCTTAAGGGTTAAGTTTTAGGTTTGAGAGTTAGGTTTGAGAATTAGGTTTAAGCGTTAGGTTTAAGGGTTAAATTTTAGGTGTTAGGTTTAAGGGTCAGGTTTGTGAGTTATGTTTAAGGGTTAAATTTTAGGTGTTAGGTTTAAGGGTTAGGTTTGAGGGTTAGGTTTAAGGGTTAGGTTTCAGGGGTTTAGCGTAAAGGTTTGGTTTGGAACGAGGATTAGAGGTCAGGCAAAGTGTCTCTGAGCACCTGTCTGACACCCCTGAGTTCACATCCTGGTCGTGGCTCAACTCAGCCTCTTTGAATCACCTCTCGAAGGTGGATAGAATAAGCACCGAGTTGCCTTGTGAGTGGACTCGGCCCCAGTCATACTAATGTGGAATTGCTACCACAAGCTCAGCCACTCAAGTCAGTTGATGGCTCTGAGCCAGTGGTAGACATTCCTAATCCCTTATGGCAGGGACCATCTCTGCGGAGATGGAGCGGTGAGAGCAGTCCATGCACAGGACCGAGCCGGATGACAGCGAGAGGGTTGGCGACAGCGGTGGGGAGGTCTTCATCCAGCAGTGTATAGACAATGGTCGATGATGGTGGTAGTGGAAAAGACCGTTGTAAATAAATAAATATATGCTGTACGTGCATAAAACCATCGACCTCTATCAATGCTGCTGACGAGGGACAGAATATCTGTTCCGATGTGAGCCTGGCAGACAATCATTCCTGAAATGTTCAGGGTGGGTTTGGAAATAGCTTTCGCTCTGCCCCGTATTTATAGTCCCTGTTAGCAATGCCATGGGCGACGAGCTACCTCTTTTCGAGGGTTGTACACAGCAAGCACGCACAGAGTAAAAAAACAACAACAAAAAAGGCGAATATTGAGAGGTTACTTGACAGATGCTGTTAGCGAGCACCTATTACGGCCGGCACAACAAACGAGCAGTTGGTGCGGCCAGTATCACTCACACACACACGTGCAACAACAGATGGCGTTCGACACAGCGTGGCAATGACAACAGCCGTAATGGTTGTGCCAGACTAGGTACACTTTAGTCTGCGTGAAGGGGTGACGGCTGCCTGTTAGCTCACAGGACAGACCGGCTGACGGAGTTGCCTGACAGACGTGCGGGTCTCTATGCATTCACCGCCGTCCCCGCTTGCTGCGTTTGGGTCGCCAGCAGCCTGCAGGTGCACCTAGCCTGGCACTGTCCGGTAGCGTCCTTCACGAGCCTACTCCACAGCGGCCGATCTTGACACCACCGGTACCAGTCATCGGCAAGTCCACTCAGCTCCACTCTTCCTCCTGTGCTGCACCAGGCACCACGCCTCTTATGTAATCTGCCCTGCTCTCGTGTAGCCCTCCTCTATCCGTCCAAACAGGAGCTCCTTACAGGTCATGGTTAAGGTGGCTTCATCCAAGGCGCGGGCGCTCCCCAATCCACAATCACATGCGGGATTCGCTCTCAATTTTCACAACTTGCAAAAAAAATCCCCAAAAATCAGGGGGCCCAGATGGAAAATGTGGGATGAGTTCGACTTGTTTTGTTTAATTTCGGATTGATCCGGAAATCGGAAGTGATAGCCATCACCGATGTTGGCCGTGAGCGAGAATGGAACTCGGGTTGGCCAGGTTCATACGCTAATCACTGCACCGCCGCTCCCCACACATATACAAAGGCTAAGATCCCCCACCCCCCAAGTAGCCTTTAAATTGATGTTTGGGGCAAGTGCTGTTAGCGGGCACCTATTTGGCATACGCCCAGGGACATACACAATGAGTTGGCTGCTGCCTTTAGGCATGTCACGAGTATTCATGAAGCCTCCGAGGAGAAAATTTTAAACCAGCCGAAAATAAACACAGTAAAGGGCGCATGCACAAAAAACAAAACGTCACACAATGGCGCGCATGTAAGCACAATAAACAGGCTAGGCCAATTGAAGAAACCATAAATAGTAAATGAGTTGGCACAATTTGACAGTTGTGTAAACATGTGGTGTATTCAGGGTTGTAGATTATAATAATAAAAACATCCAGACCTTTTGTAAATCCACTGCTGGATGAAGGCCTTCCCACGCTGTATGGGTGGCGTGGGTTGTTTGACCATACTTCACTATTCTGGTCAGTGTGAGTCGATGAAGTGCATTCCTGGGATGGGGGGGGGGTCAGGGATAAGGGAAGGACGGTGGGCCAGTACCATTTCGGATATCACTCGCCACTGATGTGAGCCGTGGCCATCAATTGTACTCAGGCTACTGGGTTTGAAGTGCATTGCAGAGACCACTCCTCAAACATGACCAAAAGAGTCTTCCCGTGTTCCTGGGGTTATTGCTGTTTTGTTATCAATGAGCGCCCCCTCCCACAGAGGCACAGAACCAACATTATAGCCCTGACAGACCACTGCTCCAACCTTATCTTATTGTTATTTTCTTTGAACCTATCTACGTGACTTTACCGAAAGACCCAAAGAATATGAACACTGCTCCACCTCTTCCACCAAATATGCAAGAGAAATATCTGAGTGGGTAATACAAGCCACGTGTTTGACTGTGGTGCAGTAGACGACCTGCGTGTAGCTCGAGCCCGGTGGCTATGAGATGTTAACTCCCTCGCCTGGTACACAGGAGGTCGTGGGTTCGATCCCGACCTGATGCCTGCTGCTGTATATTTGGAGTTTGCGTGTCTCTCTCTCTCAACATCATCACGGTGGCTATGAGATGTTAACTCCCTCGCCTGGTACACAGGAGGTCGTGGGTTCGATCCCGACCCTGACGACGCCTGCTGCTGTATATTTGGAGTTTGCGCGTCTTTCTCTCTCTCCCCATTGTCACGTAGATTTTTCTCCAGGTCCTCTGGAGTTTCCCCTCTCCATTTATAAAACCAACGTGTTTAGGGTGTTACGATACATTTCCAAATGATAAGCCACTTCGTTGGGCTATCATTTGTGGCCAGGTCGCTTCTGAAAAGTAGCCATATAGCTCAGAGCGCCTTACCTGGTAAAATAAAAACATATTTTAGTTTAGTTATTAGGCGCGTGCCAGCCTTCAAAGTGTGTTCAAGGCTCTACGGGGTATCTTTATCTTAGTTCTATTTTTATATAATTAAACAATAGTTGGTGATGCTACTAAGTTGGCAGCGTTACACAAGCGCATAGCAAAACACTCAACACCTAAGTAAACAACACTGTCTTAATATAACACATATAGACAGAGGCCAGACGTCGTCTGGATCTGAAGACCCCTTCACTTATGATTTTAGTTCAAACTCCAAAGATGATTGAAAAATCATCATCATCATTATCACCACCACCATCATCGTCAGCTCCACCTCCACTCCATCCTCATCATCACAAACAAGAACATCCTCATCATCACAAACAACATCATCATCATCACCATCACAAACAACATCACCATGACTAACTACAGTAGCACTCTTATTATAATCACACTATCACCATCATCCTCATTATCAACTCCACATCATCACCACCATCGTTAACTGCAGTAACACCATCATCGTCATCACACTACCATCAGCACCATCATCATCACCATCTTCCTTCCGATATTAGATCGCCACTGGAGCTGTGCACTTTTACATCTCGATGGAAAACGAATTTCTTTAGAACTGCTTTTTGTATGTTTCGTTTGTTGTCCTTTCCTCGCACCTCCGATTAGCAGGGTTGGCTATACACACACACATACACACACATCACACACATACACACACATACACACACATACATACACACACATACACACACATACACACACATACACACACACATACACACACATACATACACACATACACACACATACACACACATACACACACACACATACACACACATACATACACACATACATACACACACATCACACACATACACACACATACAACCACATACATACACACACATACATCACACACATACATCACACACATACACACACATACACACACATACACACACACATACACCACACACATACACACACATACATACACACACATACACACACATACATCACACACATACATCACACACATACACACACATACATAACACACATACATACACACACACATACACACACATACACACACACATACACCACACACATACACATACATACACACACATACATCACACACATACATACACATACACACACATACACACACACATACACCACACACATACACACACATACATACACACACATACATACAC